AGAGAAAATGAATATTATAAGTCTTTTTCTCTTTCTAATAACATAGACAATTAATTTCCACAATTTAATAGTTAATTCTAATGATAATTAATTCTAATAAGTTATAATATATATTAGACATTTTTTTTATATTGACAAAAAATATGATTCTAAATTAAATGTGTTATTATAAAATTTTAATGGTTTAGAAAATAGAAATTTTGTTTATTGAATCTAACAATATATTTCTGTGATAGTTAAAGTTTTTAAAAATTTTTATTAAACTTAATAACAAATTAGTGCAATTTAAACTTATGTGAATTGAGAAAAACTCTTTTCATTTTTATTATTCATTCCATACTGTAATCATGATGACAAAAACAGAATTCATTTCACCAATAAATCAATGTGAAAGATAAAAAACAGAGCAAAATAATCAAAAGAAAAACAAGGATACAAGCAAATAACAATTATTCTTTTTTTTTTTACGATTCAAAGTTCTAACGAAATAGACATAAAGACGCATTCAAACATTTTTGTTGAGATGATGCAGATCAATAATTTTTTTTACGAACATATTTGAAGCAAGAAAAAAAAGACCAAACATATTATTTAAGTTTACGTTACATTTTTATTATCTCGCATAATATATGCCTCCTACAATTTTATGTCTTCATATACAAATTTTTATTAATGAACTATATTTTTAATATAACATTGTATCAATAATAATTTTTTTACAAATGTTTAGTCTTCGAACCTAAATAATTATATATTATAAATACCAAATGATTTTAATATTATATTTACAAATATTCAATAAGTTAAAAATTATTGCATATTTTACCATGTTAATTTTAAGTCCACGCAACGCGTGAACAATCCCTAGTATTCTTTATTTAGAGGCCCATTTTGGTTATCTTGCAAATTCTCCCTTCAATCAAATCCTGACCAATTAAAATCTTTACCAAATAGAAAAAGCCAGACTTCTCCATGACGCATTAATGTAAACTTATCGGTTTCCAATGGTGATATTGTTTTCTGAATCC